GGTTTCCAAGGAGTATTTGGTGAGCTTGAACCGCTGACCTTGCAGTTCAAATGGCTTTACAGTCTGACGCATTAACCCACAGTGCCACACCAGGACATACAGCTGGTGCTCCATAAACCTCTCCTGTGTCCACCCCACCCTCTTTCTCTGTGGAATCATCTGTGGACATTTGGACTTCCCAATCCAGAAGGCTCAGAGGCAATCAGGAGCTCCCCTCTTAGAGATTCCCCCCCACCCCCACCCCCACACGGTAGTGCTGCTGACTCAGCCCTTACTCAGATTGACTTCTCTTGGCTCCTTCCCTCTGAGGCTCTGGTTCTGTGCTCTGGGAATGCTGCCTGGGGCAGGGCCACGTAGAGGGCACAGCCAGTGGATTTTCTGAGTTTCTAGTGGCCACAGCCCTTCAGCTCTGCCTTTCCTTTGCCCCCCATGTCCCCTTACACCCTTGAACAGGCCTGAGGGGCTCTGAGTGGCTTATGGGGAACAAGAGAAAGTCGGGAAGTGGGCCGAGCCTAGTTTGAATTCCAGTGTGCTCAGTGACCTTGATCCAAAGGCTTACCCTCTGGAGGTTCCAGTGTTCCAGTAGCTGAGATGAAAGACTTGGATTCAATCCTCTCTCAGAGTGCTTCCAGGCTTGAGGGTCAGGACAACTGAGGCGGCCCTCCCCCCCCCCCCCCCCAGCTCTTCCAAGGGTGATGATGTCACCGACTCCCTCTTTCTCAGGAAAGACCCTGAACTGAAGTGTGAAGCCTCCCTACACCCATACCCAGTTGTGACATCTTGGGAACTCCAGGGGTACAGGAAGTCCCTCCTCTGTGGGCCGTGGGCTCCTCCTCACTGGCTGTGTGACCTTGGACAAGTCCCCTCAGCTCCTGACTCAAGTTCTCTTTCTCAGGGCTGGAGGAGTGCAAACGAAGGACATGAACAGTCCAGCAGATTGTAGCAGCAGCAAACACCCAGCATAGACTAAAGGGCTGGATGAGGCCTGGGACCTCAGAGATGATCTTGTTCAGGGGTCTTTGACCCCAGGAAGTCAGCTCTTGTGACAGAGAACCAGAGCTTTGACTTTTGCAAAGCCTCTGCCAGCTTAACCAGAAGGAAACTGAGGCAGGACCTTGCCCAGATAAGGCTGCTTCTCTGTGAATTTAGGATTGGCTGAATGAAACCCTAATACCAGAACTCAGGGTTGTTGTTGTTATGTGCCGTGGAGTCGGTTCCGACCCATAGCGACCCTGTACAGGGTTTCCAAGGCTGTAAATCTTTACGAGAGCAGAAAGCCTGATCTTTCTCCCACGGAACAGCTGGTAGTTTCAAACTACTGACCTTGTGGTTCGCAGCTGGATTCATAACCACTACGCTACCAGAGCTCAAAGGAGGAATACTATGGTATATACTAGGTGTGGAAAGTCTCTGGTGAAACAGTTAAGTGTTTGGTCACTAACCCAAAGATGGGTTGTTTCAACCAACCCAGAGACACTTCAGAGGAGAGGCCTAGTGATCTGAATGTTAATATTAAGTGCCATTAAGTCGATCCCGACCCACAGAGACCCACAGCAGCTGGTGAGCTTGAACTGCCAACCTTGCAGTTCAAATGGATTTGCAGTCTGGCGCATTAACCCACAGCGCCACACACTGCTGTTGCTGTTGTTGTTGTGAAGTGCCGTCGAGTTGGTTCCGACCCATAGCAACCCTGTGTAGGGTTTCCAAGGAGCATCTGGTGAGCTTGAACTTGCAGTTCAAACTGCTTTGCAGTCTGGCGCATTAACCCACAGTGCCACACCAGGACTGCTGATCTGAAAGTTGTCAGGAAAACCCTATGGAATGCAGTTCTGCTCCAACACACAAGGGGGCGCCATGACTCGGCCTCAACTCCATGGCAACTGGTTTTTTGTTGCTGTTGTTTGGGAGGAGAGGTGATGGGGTTGCCTTGCTTGCCACCCTCAAATGATTCCTAAGGAGGGTCCTAGCTGCTCCTTCATTCAGCTGGTATGAAACGGGCTCCCACTGTACTAGAGGAGAAGTGACTTGCTGGGATCTGCAGACCCCATGTCTAGGTCCTGTACCACCCACCCTATATCAGTGACTCAGAGCTTGTCTCCCCCTTGCTGAGCAACTGTGAGCTCTGCCTCTGCACTCTTAGATTGGGTGGCCTTCCCAGTCTAAGGCTTCTCGGAGCTCAGAACCTCCCCCTGACTTTATAAGGCCTTTGAATCCAACAAGACCTTTCAGGTCACCAAAGAGTTAAGCAATGAAAATCCTAGGCTCCCTCTATCCCGGCTGGAGGGGAGGGAGAGGGAGGAGGGGACAAGGGAAGCCAGCTCACTGCTCGCTCTCTCCGCCCTCCCCTCCCGCCATCCCTCTCTCCCTCCTTCCTTGGATGGGCATAGGGGTCTGGGCTAGCCAGGCTAGCGACAACAAATCATTGTTGTAGACATGGGCCAAGGAGCAAGAGGTGAACTGGAGGCCAGGGACCCCTGAGCTGCTAAGCCGGCCACAGGACACTGGGTGAGTGAGCCCTGGAGCCCCGTACCCAGAGCTCTGCAGGGTGAGGAGGGGCTGGGGGCTAGCACAACCTGCACTGTCTTCTAGGCCCTTGCCTCTGCCCCCCTCCTCCCCAAGTCCACAGGTTCAGCTCCCGGCTCTTGCCTTTGCCTGGTCCCACTCCAATTCAGCTCAGTTGGGCCTAGCTGGGAAGAGGATGGTCACCCTGTCAGCCTCCTCTCAGAGACCCTGAGAGTCACCCCCATGGCATGCTCCCCACACTTTGTCTCTGCCCGGCCATTCTCCCCGGGAGCTCCTCACTAATCCAAGCTATGGTTACTGTAACTCGTTACAAGGACTGACCCTGGCCTCCTTGCTGACCATCCTGGGTCTCAGTTCTCTGTCTGAGAGCTTTTGAATCCTATGGGGCCTGGGCGACAGGAAACCAACGGAGAAGTCCCCTAGCAGTGCTAGTCCTGGGGGAAGTTCTTGGACTTCCCATAAAGGGCACGCAGCAGGGGGAGGAGGAGCACATTTTTTATTGAGTCTTTTACAAACCAAACACTTTCTCTGCATTAAATCCTCAGGGTAGGGGCGTCTGTCATTCACTTGGAAGTATCCAGGAGTAGGAAGCCCAGAGAGTTTAAACCACTAGGCTGAGGTCACACTGCTTATAAACTGCTCTGCAGACATATTTTCCACGAGGTCACATCTACGGCCAGGGAAAAAAGGGGAACTTTGTTGTTCTCAGAAACTAAAATCGAAGATGAGGGGGGTTTGTTGAGCTCTGAGGATTTGGCCTGCCTTATTGGACAGGACTAGTAAACTGCCCAGGGTAGGCAGAGTAGGGAAGGATCATCACCAGGAAGAGGGTGGTGGTTGGGAGACTGCTCATCCCCCACCCTTCTCCTAATTCTACCAACCAGACCCAGGCAGGGGGACAGAGAGGGGAGGTTTCTTCTACCCCAATGCTCAACTGCATCCAGCTGAAATAGGCTGGCATTAAGAAAAAAATAACTGTGTTATTTTCTCTACTCATATTAACCATAGAAAAATATTTTTGAATAGGTACTAAATGTTAAAGGGTAACAAAAAGGAAATAAACAGAGAAACGCTAGAAGTGTCAAACCCAGTCTGGTTTCAGAAGCTGAGTTTCTGATCCTGTGATAACTGGGCGCCGCCTGCCTCAGAGACTTCTTCTTGCCAGTTTCCTGCCCAAGCAGCCCTGCTGTGGCCAGGGCTGGTGCCCAGGGGCACTTCCTGCCCCTCTGGTAAACTCTGGACCCCCTCTTGCTAAGGCCAAAGACAGGTCCTTACAAATCTTTAAATGTCTTGGATCCTCTTAAGTTTTCCAGCTCTCTGGCTCCTGACCTTTAATTCCAGCTTCCCACTGGAAACTGACAAGCACACACTGCTTCCCAATGAGTTGACTACAGTGTGTTCACCTTCTCTGTAGAAGGTGAAGTTGTGCTGCAGGGTGAGGTGAGTGAGCTCTCGCCAGCCCTTCCCAAGTTGCATGCCCTCAGCATCTCTTCTTCAAGAGGGGCCCTTTCTTTTTTCATTTGTCAGCCCAGAGGACAAACTCGTACTGTATATACCAGCGGTGGCCTGCTCCCAATTCTTCAGGGATACTTGGTGCCCCCTAAACACTGCTGGTTCTTGTGAAGTGCCGCCAGTCAGTCCTGATTCATAAACGACTCTGTAGAGACAAGGTTTCCAAGGCTTTTAAATCTTTGCCGAAGTAGAAAGCCTCATCTTTCTCATGCAGAGCGGTTGGTGGGTTTGAACCACCAACCTTCTAGCTGGCAGTCCAGTAGTTTTCCTACAAAGCCACCATGCTCCCAGACTCCCACGCCCCCATACTCGGGAATAAACAACATTCCCCTCAGAGCCTTGGTGTGTGTCCCCAAGTGTCCACAAATTGCCTCACACTGTGTCGGTGGTGTGTGCTTACTGGGAATGGCAGAGGGAGGTAAGTGGGAGGGTGGGAAGAACATTCCATAGTTTCATTGCTGATGACATGTGGGCAGCTGGGGTCTCTTCCTTGTCCTACCCCACAAAGGTCTCCAGGGAGCCTAATTAGCTCTCTGCTGTGGTTCTCTTCAAAGTGGCTTCCTTTCTCCTAGACTCAGGTGTGGCCAGGAGAACCAGTTATGCTGTGACCTTCAGAGGCCTCAATCTACTGGTCTGTTAAATGGAGTCAGCTTTATCAGGAGTGCCCATAAAGTGGACGGTCGAATCCACACTGAGTATTAGCATATCCTCAATGTTAATTTAAGGAGCTCTGGTAGCGTAGTGGTTACGAATCAGGCTGCGAACCACAAGGTCAGCAGTTCGAAACTACCAGCTGCTCCGTAGAAGAAAGATGAGGTTTCTGCTCCCGTAAAGATTTATAGCCTCGGAAACCCTGTACAGGGTCGCTATGAGTTTGAACCGACTCCACGGCACATAACAACAACAACAACAACAATTTTAATTTCCATCTCTTTTCTGCCCCTTTGGTCTTGTTCCAGGTTACCATGGCGATGGTTACGCTGGTCCCCTACTGGGCAGTGCTCCTTCTCTCTCCCTTGGTGCTTGGGATCCCCACTGAGGAGCCCACCTCTGGAGAAGCCTCCAGAGGCTGCCAACGGTGCTGTGACTATGAGGATGCCCAGGCCCCTGGCGACGATGCAGATGTGTCAGCCACCTCTCCATCTGCCCTCCCATACATCCTGCCTGAGGTCAGGCCCTACATTAACATTACCATCCTGAAGGGTGAGTCCCGCAGCACGTGGTTCAGCCAAGATTGGGAGCCAGGAAGGCATGGAGGGATCTATCTGGACTCAGAGTCGGGCAGGGTGGGGTGAAGGGAGCCAGCAAAACCACTACAGACAAATGCCCCACCTTAATTATGTGCAAATAGATGAGAGGTTTGAGTCTCCTCAGAGATGCTTCAGAAGAAAGACCTAGCAATCTAGTTCTGAAAACCCAGTCATTACAAACCTTATGGAGCCCAGTTCTATTCTGGTGTGCATGGTGTCACCATGAGTCAAAGTGGTGACTTTGGTACTGGTATGGTACAATGTGTCATAACTGGGCTAGAGCAGTGAGAGACCAAACCAAAGAGCCTCCCACAACGGAGCTGCTGGTCTAGTCGGGGAGGCAGATCATGAAAAGTAAGCACAGAAAGTCTGTCCATGGAGAAGGGGGAAGGGTATCAGGAATGCAAGCATGGTGGCAGGGAGGCTGCATGTTGAATGGGGTGGTTGGTGTATCTAACTGAGGAGGTGAGAAAGTGAGCCCATGCAGCTATCATCAAGAAGTGCCTTCCAGGCCAAGGGACCAGGCAGTGTGAAGCCCCCCAGGGCCATGTGGAGCAGGGGCAGGAACTGAGGTCCGAGAGAAGGACCAGGTGGTGCAGGAGCTGGTTGGTCATCATCAGGATTCTACTGAGTGAGACGAAGACAAGGGGTACGTTTGAGGGACAAGGGGTACAGAGGAGGGACTGAGATTTCAAGTTGGTCCCTCTGGTGCCTCAGGCCAAGAAAAACCAGATCCCAAGTGAGAAATACCGACGTCATAGTCAGACAGGAAGGAGTGCTAACCAGCTCAGGAACAGAAGAGACAGGAGTCCAAAACTGACCTCTGTCCAGACCTACCTGGTTTCTGTCCCCACCACCAGGAGTGAAGGTCTGATTGTGGTCTAGGGAGCCAGATTCAGACCCCCACCTCGGGGCCACTGCACCCAGCCATAACAAGGCTAGCAGGGACGTGGTGGAATGCATGTTTGCATTTCTGACCCAGAGAAAGAAGCAAAAATAAATAAATAAATAAACCTTTACCCACTTAGATCACACCTTTCCTGATTTTAAACCATTCAATATTCTCTTGTTCTGTTCAAATGACTGACTTTTGGTTTATGTGTAGGTCCCCCATGAGCACAATTACGTGTTCTGGAATACCTATTCTTTGCAATGTTACCCATAGCTTGTTATGACTCACACAGTCAAATGCCTTTGCTTAGTGAATAAAGCACAAGTTAACATCTTTCTCATAGCCCTGCTTTCAGCCAACATCCATCTGATGTCAGCAATGATGTTCCTCATCCCACATCCTCTACTGAATCTGGTTTGAATTTATGTCAGCTCCCTGTTAATACATTGCTGCAACTGTTTTTAAATTATCTTCAGCAAAATTTTATTTTCATATGTATTAATTATAGTGTTAGGAGGATTTCTGTATTTCGTGGGTTCAACTTTCATTGGAATGAGCACACATATGGCTCTCTTCTAATCAGTTGACCTGGTAGCTTTTCTTCCAAATGTTTTGGCATAGATAAGTGAGTTTCTACAGCGCTGCCTCAGTTCGCTGGTTTAAATTTGTATTCCACCAACTCCTGAAACTTGTTTGTCACCAACGCCTTCAGTTCAGCTTGGATTGCTTTCTCTGATATCATCAGTTCTTCATCATATGCTACCTCTTGAAATAACTGAACACAGATCAATTCTTTTTGGTTCGGTAACTGTATGTGTATTCATTCCATCTTCTTTGGATGCTTCCTGCATCATTCAAGATTTCCCCCATAGAATCCTTTAGTGTTGCAAGTCGAGGCGTGAATATTTTCTTAAGTTCTTTCAGCTTGTGAAATGCTGAACATTTGCTGTTCTTTTGGATTGTAAACTCACATTTCATAATGCTTTACTTTGTCTTCTCCAGGGGTCCTTTGAGATTTACCGCTCTTTTACATCATCCTTTCTTCTAGTTGCATTGGCTTACTCTACATTCAAGAGTAAGTTTCAGAGTCAGACAATAGGGGTTTAATGTTGTTGTTGTTGTTAAGTGCCGTCGAGTCGGTTCCGACCCATAGCGACCCTGTACAGGGTTTCCGAGGGTTTAATAAACAACCGCTATTTCTTTGAGCCTGGGCCAGGGCAAAACCTTCTGCAAATGAACTTAAATGCTCATTGGTGCAGGTTCCAATACCTGCCCTGACTTCTCCCCTCCTTGTCTCCACAGGTGAGAAAGGGGACCGTGGCCCACTGGGCACACCAGGGAAGCTAGGCAAGGAGGGTCCCCGTGGTGACCGCGGTCCACAGGGCACCAAGGGTGCCAAGGGGCAGGTGGGCAGCCCCGGCAACCCATGCCAGACACGCTTCTCCGCCTTCTCGGTGGGCCGCAAGACCGCCCTTCACAGCAGCGAGGGTTTCCAGCCACTGCTTTTCGACACGGTCTTCGTGAACCCGGATGGGCACTTCGACCTGGCCTCCAGCCACTTTGCGGCCCCCCTGAGTGGCCTCTACTTCTTTAGCCTCAATGTGCACAGTTGGAACTTCAAGGAGACGTACGTGCACGTGGTGCACAACGAGGAGGCCGTGGTCATCCTGTATGCCCAGCCCAGTGACCGCAGCATCATGCAAAGCCAGAGTGTGATGCTGGCCCTGGGGTCCGGCGACCGCGTCTGGGTGCGCCTCTTCAAGCGTGAGCGGGAAAATGCCATCTACAGTGATGATGTTGACACCTACATCACCTTCAGCGGCCACCTCATCAAGCCCGATGAGGACTGAGGGCTTCCCTCCTGGGAACTTGCTTCCCAACTGGGTAGTGGCTTGGTGCTGGGTGGCCTTGGGCTGGTCCCATCCCCCTAAAGGCCCTGGGATTGCCCCTCTTTGAAAGGTGGGGAGGGTACACTGGTCCCCAAGGACCCCACATTCTAGGTAGGCCCTCTCTCCTTTCCAGTCTGTTTTTGCCTCTCTGCTGTCTTCCACATATTTGAAGGAGCCTTCTAACCTAAACATTCTAGAATTTTCTTTTGTTGTTGTGAAGTGCCATCGAGTCGGTTCCAACTCATAGCAACCCTGGATAGGGTTTCTGAGGAGCAACTGGTGGGTTCGAACTACCTACCTTATGGTTCGCAGTCCAGTGCTGATCCTACAGCACCACATCCTGATGTCCACAAACTATTTTGTTGTTGTTGGTAAGTGCCTTTGAGTCGATTCTGACCCCTAGCAACCCCTGTATAGGGTTTCCAAGGAACAGCTGTTGAGCTTGAACCACTGACCTTGCAGTTCAAATGGCTTTGCAGTCTGGCACATTAACCCACAGTGCCACACCAGGACTCCACAAACTATTATAAGCCCTGGATATCCAGCTTTCTTTTACACCAATACTTTTTCAACTTGAATATACATATGAATCATCTGGGGATGTTGCCCAAATGCAGATTGGCAAGCACTCAGCCAGGATCTGAAGTGGGCCTAAGAGTTTGCATTTCTAAGGAGTTCCTGGGCTGCAGAGTGTGAGCAACAAGGTTCTAGAACTTTCTCAAAATTCTAGTCATTTGAAACATTCTAGCATCCTTCCCACATCCTTGGATTCTCTCATCGCTCTAGGAGGCCCCCTCCTCTGTTCTCCTGCCTTGCCCCCTTTTCCTTTCACAGCTCCTGTTAAAGCCACTGTACATTTATTCACCCATTGCACGCTCACTGGCTCAGGCCCTGGAAAGGCAGAGGAAGGAGATCAGACGCAGGCCCTGCTCTTGGTGAGCACCCAGTCCAGCCGGAGAAGAAGTTCAGGTACCAGAGCTAGAGACAGGCATGGGGACCTTATCACACAGCCCTGTGTCCTAGACATTCAGGCACATGGGGGCCCAGAAAGCAGAAGGTCCCTGTCCTCCCAGTCCTAGCCAATGTCCATAATTAAAGAAAACCCCTGTGAGTCCTTGGAAGCACTTGGGGTGAAGGTGACCTTCACGAAATGAAGCCCAACTGGTATGGTGACCCTCCTCACTGTGCCCCCTCTCTGCCCTTTAGGGGACTCAGCAACTCCTGCCAAAGGCATCTGATCTCTATTCTCCCAGGATGAAAAGCCGCTGACAGACACATGTCTGTCCCCAGTTGCTGTTCCCTGTCCCTCCTTGGCCCCATCAGCCCGTACCCCAAAAGTGCTAGGTTTCATCAAGGTGCTAAAGGCCCTAATGGGCAACTTCCACCTGGCAGAGCACTCCTCCAGCCTGCTGGGCCATGGACCAAGATGAAAGGCAGCAAACTTCAGCCTCCTCAGCTAGTCTGGGGAACTGAGGCAACATTCCAGGTCAACCAGGGGGTCTCCTCTGAGCCATGATGCCAAGGGAGAGGCCGAGCTGTAACTTCTCTCCCTGTCTCCCCATTCCGACCCTCAACCTGGGGGAAAAAGGGGCTAGAACTTATCACCTCTTCAGGCAGCCTCAAGGGGGGGAGGGGTACCCAGCCCTCAGGCCAAGGTGGCAGGCAGAGTCTGGAGAGAGGGCTGGGGTGGCCTGGGGCTCCTTTAGCCTTTCTGTCCCCACCTCTGTGGCCTGACCTCTTCCCAGAGGGAGGCAGCTTTGCTCATTGGTGCTCATGCAAACTCCTGGGCAGATGTGGCCCTGGAGTTGCCTCTGGTGCTAATGGCCAGGTGATGGGAACAGGGCCTGCTGCCCCCGGCCCAGCCTGTCCGTCCAGCATGATTAAAGGTTGTTGCATCTTTTTGGCAGTTCGGGCTGTTCTTTCTATTCTGTTCGCTTTGGAAGGATTCCACTGGGGCATGGATCCAGGGCTCCATTCCACATGGTTCCCACCCAAGGAAACCACCCCCCGCCTCAGTCCCTCAGGCAGGCTGTACTCTTGGAGTGAGCAGAACTAGCTGTGAGTCTGCTATCCTTTTTCTGGTTGTGACCTCGGGCAAGTCCTGCATTCTTCTAAGTCTCAGTTGCTCTGTCTGTAAGACGAGGATGATGGCAGTATCTACTTCGTGGGGTGGCCATAAAGATTGGACGTGAGGTTGCATGGTGACAGGTGCATCCATTCATTGACCTGGTGCCTACTGAGCACTTAATGTGTGCTGGGGACTCTGCTAGGCATGGAAGTGACAGCAGGGAATACGGGGTTGCCTCCTTTTGGAGAACGTCTGTGGTGTTCCAGGACACCATCACCCTCACTTGGGGCTCTGCCTAGTGTTCTTGGGGAGCTGTTGGACATTCAATAGAGGAAAGCACATACTACATTTGATGGTGAACCGCTTAACTATGTTGACAGGCTCAGACTTTCTATACCAGCATGGTAGCTACTTACATACATGTATTATAAATACTCTACACTGAGTCCCCTTATTGACTGGAGAGGGGCAGCCTACATACTGTCCCTTGGTGTTGTCACGGTGTCTGGGTAACTTTCTGGGCACTGTGTGGAAGAGGCATTCTTTATAGCACAAGAACATCCCGGAATTCAGAGCATCCCAGGAGTTCAGAAACCTTTTACTTAGAGCTCATACGGCCCCTGAAGACTATCTTCCGATGACTACTGACCTCTTCTCACAGCAGAGGTTCCTAACATTACCACAGGCTCCCCAGAGGGACCAATCTCCCAGGATGCTGTGGCCCAGCCTCTGTCTATACATCATCTGTCTGACCAGCATCAGCATATAGTGGCAAAGGTTACCCCAAGTGCCAAGCAGGAGCCTTTTGCCATGCCTCATCACAAGGATGATTATAGCTCTATACTGGTGGTGCAGTGGGTTAGGTGTTGGGCTGCTAAACCCAGGTCAGCGATTCAGACCCACCAACCGCTCTGTGGTAGAAAGATGAAGCCGTCTGCTCCCATAAAGATTTACATTATTGGAAATCCTAAAGAGCATTTCTGCCGTGTCTTGTAAGTTCACTATGAGTCAGAATAGACTGGATGGCAAGGTGTCGGGGACCTGCCTCGACATAGGGGTTCGGTTCACGAGGAGGAGATACCTGACGGCGGTAACAATATATCAAGAATACATAGAAGGAGGCAAAGAGAGAGACAAAGAGACACTCCGAAACCAGAGTGAATGCTGGACTGGCATCAGGCAAATCCTGTATTGCAAACATCTCAGCCACGAAGGCCGTAATATCCTGCATAGTAAACATCTTAGCTAAACAGGCAGTATGGTTGCAAGGCTGGACTGTGCCCCCTGCATGCTGTAACGCATGCCTTGCCAGTCGTAATGCACCTGGATTCGTTCTGCGCCTTCCTTTTATTTAGGGAAGGAGTTTCACACTAAGCTGGGAGGGACTTAGGCAAGGTACAGCTAACATCAGTACTTTTCCAGACATTCAGGTAACTTTACATCGTACTTCACTGGTTCGAATCCCAGGCCAGCAACTTGGATTCTCAGGCCCAATTAACATATCTATAGCCCCTGAGCTCAGGTGGGGGAAAGTGAGAGGTAAGGACAAAAGCTTGGGTGGAGTCCCGCTGTTTTGGCTTCCTGAGCCAGGTTTTCAGGAACTTGGCTGAATAGCTAACACTTGGGAGAGATTCAGGATGGATGGCTTTTTTGTCTGTAGAACAGAGAACTATGAAGTAGCTAAGATGTTTTTAGTTAATCCTTTGGAGAAAGGCTTGACCTTGCAACCTTTACAGTCTGGGCTTTTAAGGAAAATATCACATTTATCTGTGGATTATCAAAGGCTCCGTGTATTAATTTAATACATGTAACTGAATATTAAGATGAAAACAATTTGCCATTAACTGCCAGTGGCCTCATTTGTTACACTCGGGCCTATAGGGCCTCGAACCTCTGACCAGTCTTACACGGTCCACAACAGCAAGGGTTTAAAAAGACACCAAAGCATTTGAAATTTCTTGTCAAGCACCCGCAGGAAGATTCAGGTCAAAGTTACCATTTCAGGTCCAATTAGTTCTGGACTCTAAGCCTGGCATCTCCCCTACACCATCCCATCTGCCCGGTCGCCTGTGCTTCTCCCATCAATGATGGCTCAGTTGCCACCTGTTGATGATGGTCTTGGCTGTTTTCCCCACTGTGTCCCAGTTCTTGGTTGGGTGACATAACCCAGTAAGCAACAGAATTTACTTACTCTTTGTGATGAGCTCTGCCTGACACACTTCCTGTCTTAGAGGTGTGGGGAAGAATTGTAGAAACAGTGTCTGGAGATCCCCAGGTCTGCTGCCCCGAGGTGTTCCCAAGGAGGTCTTCTGTATTTCGTCCTGGTGACCTCCAGTGAGTTTGTGAACTGCAAATGCACCCACTGCCAACACCAAGACAATCCCTGCCAGTTACATACTTTAAAAATGACATTTTCTCCTGGAATGTTAGGCAACAGGGGTGGGCAAGGAGGGAAGGCCAAGAGAAGCAGCTGCCCCATGAAATGGGAACTACCCCAGACTAAGGGTCAGGGGTCCTGGGGCTCTGCCAACCTTTGTTGGGTGGCCTAGGGCAAATGCCTTCCCCTCCCTGGGCCTCAGGTCTGCTGTTTTAAAGGAGGGGCAGCATCAGGTACTGAGGGCTTTCTGAAATTGCCCCTTCCACACTATACCAGGGATATTGGACAGCAAAGCTCCTGCTGACGCTCAGAGTGGTTATGAATTCTCTGGAGCCAGGAATCCCAGGCTAAGGGGCAGGCTGGGGAGGGTGGGAACTTGTCCATTGCTATAGGATAAGCACTTATCCTATCGGACAATCTCTTTGATATCCCATGAGAGTAAAGTTTTACTAAAGGTAATACAGAAACAGCTGCAAGCATATATTGAGAGAACTTCCAGAGGTTCAAGCCAGATTC